TGGATGTCCTTTACCTTTGTGAAACTTCTTGTTTAAATATTTTGAAACAATCTTAACAGATGTTTTAATGGCAGCTAGCTGGTGAGATTAACATTACTCAAGTGATAAATAAAAATAAATTAGGCAACTCCCATGTCAGGAGCCAAGCCCACCAGGCCTCGGGAGGTGGAGATGAAACCCTTTGGTTTCTGCTTCAGGACAGAGCTGCCTCGCACAACTCCAAGGCACCTTCCCTGTGGCATTCTATTGGAACGCTGCCCCCCAGCCTTGTGCAGTTGAACTTCGGGGACTGGGTAAGCAGAGGTATCATAGTAAAGGCAAGAGAGAAGAATAAAGTAAGACTACAGAAGGGGGAGCAGTTAGCTCTGCCCAAATTAGAAATTTGCACAAACAATTTAGAATGTGTCACCTTCAACTGTCTGCCGCCTTTTCATATATTTGTGGATGAAAAGAGATAAGAGTAAAATTCTGTTTAAGGCAAGGCATTTTCTCCTCAGTGTTAGCTAACATGGGAGAAAGTTGAAAACTTTTGTGCTGTGGCCTACGCAGAGGCATGTTCACTTTGCTATCCTGTGTAACCAGAAGCTCTATTTTCACAATAATCCCTACCAGTTAGCAGAAATGGGTTATTCTACCAAGACTTTAGGCTCCGCTTGAACCTCTATGTCTTCACTTGAACCTCTATGTCTCAAGTACAGTTAGCAGCAACTGTTGAAACGGGACACCCCTCCCCCAAGGTGTCAGGGACATAGAGGGGGTGATAAGCAACTTCCCTGGGGCTGTGCTATTCCATTCCTGAGGAGGAAGGAGAAGTAGGTGAGGCTATGCACCTTTAATGCTACTGGAAGAAGCACTTACTGAGAAGTCTGGTAGGGTCCTGGCCATAGTGAAGGGCTCCATGGTAAGGATCACTGTAGGGATTTTTATTCTTTTGAAAGTGCTGGGGATCAAACCCATGGCCTTGAGCATGCTAGGCAAGCACTCCACCACTGAGCCACACTCCCTGTCCCCATTGTGTGTATGTTTATGGTAAAGGCTTCCTCAGATTTCTCAGAGGCCACGAGTGGCTGAGCGGCTGTGTGATTCCACAGTACTCCCGTGTGACCAATAATCTGTCTTCACGCTTAGCTGGTGGGCATAACCTCTCCCTTCAGTCTGCAAAGCCAACCTGCCACGCTGAACTGGCTTCCTGCCTTTGTTGGGAACGGCAGCCTCCATGGAAACACGATACATTCACTCCAGGCTGTGAGGGTCAGATAGCCATAACCCAGGGCTGGATGAAAGGGATCGGATGAGGCCTGACCACCAAGGAAGAAGACCTAGAGCAACAGGGCACATTATTAGCTTCCCTGCAACGGGAGCGTCTACAGCTCCTTGCTGCTTCCCAGGGCCTGCCAAGTCTTTCCGCACAGTACTTAACTTCTTGCATCCCGTTGCTTAAATGTGTTGCTCATGTTTTCGCCGAGGCCGGCCATTCAGTAGCTGGGCGCACCACAATCGGCAGCTTGTCTGCAATTTGTCTCACTGCTTTTGTCTGAGGTCTGAACTCTGAACCTGCGCGCCCACGAGCTGCCGCATGGGAGGCACACTCCCTCCCTCCAGCCCCTTCCACCCGCTGCAGCCGAGGGACCTTCACAGCAGAGATGACAGGAATCCAAGGCTCCAGAACCTGCCGGGGACTCAGCGGCTCTCCACACCCTACGTGCACAAAGCCCGAGAGTGAGAGGCAAAGAGAAGCTGAATTATCCCCCACCAACCACGTGAATTTCCATTTTTTGTGAGAAACAGTGTTCTCCCTCCACACACATGAGCACCTGGAAGAGATAACACAGCCTCCACTGCTGCTCATCCTGTCTGTCTAGTTTAAATGGCCAGATGTAGAGGCTCATCGTGACGTAGTCTTAGCTCGTCAAGAGGTCCGCCATGCCACAGCGGACAAGCAGCCCCTCGTCAGTGCCCTACCTGCCTCTCCTAAACCTCAACTTGGACTGTACGGAATCCCACTTTTTGTAGATCAGAAAAGATCATACATAGGCAGCTATGTATAGTTCACCTTAACAGAAAAGATCAACAAGATTAATATTTATGGGGTAACTGCTATGAGATAAGAAGACAGGCTTGTTTACCTGGAAAGCCTGAATACTTTCCCTCTGCCATGTGTAAGTCTTGCTCTATAAAATCAATGGTAAAAAGGGGCTGGGGATTTAGCTCAGCGGCAAAGCGCCTGCCTGGCAAGCGCAGGGTTGTGAGTTCGGTTCCCGGTACCGGAGAAAAACCAAAAAAAAAAAAATCAATGGTAAAGATACAGCAGGTTCACTGTTGTCCCCCCCTCCCCATTCCAGGAATCGAACTCACAACCTTATGCTTGCCAGGCAGGCGCTGTGCCGCTGAGCTAAAGCCCCAGCCCCCGGCAGGTTCACTGGAACTAGGAAGGAACAACTGAGTCTATTTGTATGTGGAAAATATCACATCCCCTCATTTTTTGTTACTACCGTGTTTACTGACCTCCGGTGACTCTGTGTTTACAGTTACATACACACTGAAGTTCAGTATCTTGCTGTTTCTCTTTTAAGCTTTATCCTCTGCTCCTTAATTTGCACACCATTCCCCAGTTCAGGGTCATGTTAGATTTCCCACTTTTATGGTGATTCTTGACTTCGCCATACCCAGTCCCTGCAACTCTCTACCTAAGGTCTGCAGAATCTCTCGCAAACATTCTCCCTATCCACTGAGGACCCTCTGAATACCTCTTGGTCCATGAAGTTTTTCTAGTTTTCCCAAAAGATGTGAATGCTTTTTCTTTCAAAGCCCCACAGCTCCATGAAAGCCCACCCAATTCTTGCCACGGTTGGTCCTACTGGTGATACGGCTGTTTAGACACTTCCTCCTCTTCCCTCTAGAAGAGGGGTCATGGCAGAATTATTCTATTAAGGATCAAACAGTAAATATTTTCAGCTTTGTTGGTCATATGGTATCTGCCACAACTACTGCATTTGGTTCTTGGATCCTGAAAGCAGCTAGAAATGATACATACATGAGTGAGCACATCTACGTTTCCATAAAATTTTATACCCAAAATCTGGTGGCGAGCTGGGTTCCGAAAATGGGCCCCGGTGTGCCAAGCCCTGTCCAAAGTCATTGGTTCCTAATGCTAACACTGTATCTTCCTGAGGACTCTCTCTCCTCTGAGCTGTACAGTGACACACGCAGCACTCATCAATCCTAGTGGAACAAAATGCAATCTGGAATTGGTGAAATCAGAGGGGCCCTCCTCAAAGCTATTGTTTGGGGCCCTGAGAACTGTGCAGGCTCCTCTCCTCACACAGTTGTTTTCTATCCATGCAGCAGGGCTCTGAGAACCTCTTGACCTGCGCCTGATTTTCCTTGCCCGGAAGCTTCAAAGGCAGGCTGACTTCTAAGGAACCATAAAACACCATATATGATCAACCCCTTCTCCTCGAGCTCAGGGGCCCACCTGTCAGGCGTATGGTTGTAGACTGTTACCTTAGGCTGGGCTTCCACTAATACAATAAAGGAAGGTCCACAAAGTGTCCTCTGATTAAAAAAAAGGGGGTGCGGGGAAAGGAGGGTTTTGGGTATTGAAGAAACCTGCAAGACCTTTTCCATTCCCTGAGTCAGCTGGCTACTAAATTTGTAACTGAGCCCGAGCAGAGAGCTGGTTTCATTCATGAATTTATTTGCAGGGTTATATGTAGGGTGAGATTTTCAGAGCCTTATGTTTCTGCCCCGGGAGTAGATTTCAAAACACAATGGCTCATCTAGACCCGATTTTCCAGGTGCTGGGGAAACCTCCTTTATATACTAACCATATTTCATGCAATAAAATACTTTCATCTTCCAACTTCTGGGGTCTGGGCTTCACATATACTTTTAGTTCCTGTCAAAGTTCAGCTTAGACCTTCTTTCTAGTCTGAACCACTTGATGTGTGTGAGGAATGACCCATATACTCCTAACTAGGAATCATCAGTCACTGCGCTTTAATAAAATCAAAATCAAAACATAAAGAAAAAGGTCTCCAAGATCTGGCAACTACAGTGCCTTCAGTGGTTACTTACTGGTTTTTCAGAAAGTTCTTTCTACCAGGGATCTTGTCTAGAAAATCCCTCTGGATGCATACGGGTGGTGGTTATTTAAACACAAGTAGATTAAGAAGCAATTCTGGAGTTTTAGTGATTAAAGAGAACAGATATCAAGTCCCTGTGCCCTGCCTTTCTGACGGGAAAGCTTCCTGCAGAGCCAGTATCTGTGCGGAAGACGGCCTGTTGGTTACAGTGGTTGGAAAGAAACTGTGCTGCGGGTCAACAAAATCACGTTCTTCCCGGCGAGATATCTAGACGTTTCCACCCTCGGCTGGTGAGAAGTATCAGCACACCACAGCTGTCTTCTCCCTTTTCAGTCCTCTCCTCTGCGCCTCCCGCCCCCTCCCGCCAGACTCCCGCCTCTCCGAGAGAAACACTGGGTTATTTTAAAGCCGCGACCTCAGAAGGCCTCCCGGGCAAGCCACTCAAGCCACCTCTGCAGCCATTCTAATTGCACATCTGCAGCAAAGCTGCTCCAGCATTCCCCCGGAAAATAAACTCATGCTTCTACAGCCAGACCTGGGTGGCCCCTCCGCTGCTAGGAAAGGCATGCCATTTGACAATTACTATTAGACCCGACTCGTGAATATTATCTAAGACAACAAAAGGAAACTCAAGGTGAAAACTGCCCCCATTCACCCGAAGTGTGCCTCTCCCTTTTCAGTTACTTGTAAATGTTCCAAATGTGAGTCCTAATCACACCACCCGGCCAGGGCCCCGCCTTTCAGACAAGCCCGTTCTGCGGCCCGCCCTGAGGTTATCATCTGGTCCCATGGCCGCTGGCGTGGCTGTCTTGTGGCTCCGCAGAGTGAAAGGAAAGGGAGGGAATGGGAGTATCAGGGTGGAGAGCGAAGGAAAGGGCCGCATTTGGCAGGGAGCAGCGCTGACGAGTTACTCACATGTGCTGGGAGGCATTGGGATACAGTTTTGAAAACTGTGGGGCTGAATCCTCTGGGCCGTGGGGCGCGGCGTGGCTGATCACCATCATAATGGGCCTATGGGGATACATTCTCTTAGACATTTTGAAGTAATTAATGCTGTCGTTAGTGATTAAGTCTGTGAAGTAGTCCTGAAACATACATTTGACACAAAACAAAAATTACAAAAGGTGACATTCATCAGTTCACATTTGAATACTGCTTTCCTCAGAAGCAACTCACGGAGTGAGGAGATAAAATCTAAGCAGGAAAGAAAATGATACCTCCCAGGGCAGCCAAAGACCTTCAAGAGAAAATCAGTTGCCAGCCAATTTCTAAGGTTGCTGGCTTCCTAACATGCAAAAAAAAAAAGTATTTTAAGTAATGCCCAATTTACCAATTAGGGAAGAAGAAAGACAAATTATGTTTGCCCAAGATAATGACCAGACCTGGCAATACAAGTGCTAGAACACATGAAACACCGGATACATATTTCATTCTCAGGTTTCACTGATGTAATTCGTTGGCAAAAAATTTAATTACTTCAAGGGCAGGAAGCACCCACACCCACTTCAAGTTCAGTTGGAGAACTCACACACACAAACACACGTACACACAAGTGGACAAATACACAAGGACGGATCTTTTCTTCCAATCAAAAATGCACCTGTGGGAATATCACAGCATTGCTAAGCAAAGTCAAGGCCAAAATCCAGAAGCACAGAGGAAAGCTGCGGCATTTTATCAACTAATTTACTTGAAACACTTAAATATGGGGAGTGGCTGATTTCCTACAGACTGTGCTGTGTTAATTGCACAACGAAAGCGATACAGCTGCTGGGATTAGAGGTTGACTTGCTAATAAAACGACTTAACCCCTAGTCAGGGGGCTGATGCAAGTTGTACAGGGGAGGGAGGAAACGGAATGAAAAGGAAAGAAAACATGAAAATTTAAATCAAACCACCTGCTTCCTCTAAGTGTGTATCATTGGCCTGGAGCTCCAGGATAAACTTTACTCAGAGAGTCCCGGCAATGTTCACAATATCAAAAATTCCAGCCATGAGCAGTCACATGTTGTGGATTTAAGGACCGGAACAGCTGCAAAAGCAATGCTAGAGGGACAAATCTGTGTCACATGTTGTTGCTAGGACAAGTCCACAGGCTGTCCCCTACTTCCATGAGGGTGTCTGTTTAATTTCTTTCCTCACTCCAAAAAAAAAAACCACATATATTCTTTTCAGACACAGTTGTCTTTGACACTTAATCAGCTGTGATAATGAGCAAGTTACGCTGATTTAGTATTTGGAGAGAAGCTTGATTACTTTGCTCTCCTTAGAACAACAGGGAATGAAAGGTTAATAGCTTGAACAAGGAGCCTGAGAAGCATCCCTACAGATAGAAATTGGTAATGGTGACAATTAGTGCATGTGGTACACACTGTTTTCAAACTGTGATTGTACCCACAACTGGGGAAATGACCCAGGGCCCACAATGGGCAGGACTGCTCTAGGCGGCTTTTTGTTCTTAAAAAATTAGAAAGTTGCTCCAGTCTGCCTCAAAGGTCCCTGCCACTCTCAGCTTTGATGAGTGTAGAAGCCTATTTAGCGATGTTTGTGAATTCATTTGCATTCATTGTTTTCTAAAGGGTATGGAAGATCAGGATTTATATCTTATCTCCCTCTCAGGTCCTTGTGCTCAAATCAGGCCAAGCATAAACACAGCAATGTGCCAACAACATTAAATTAATTCCATCCTCTGCTTCTACCAAGTTCTCTACCCCGTCAGGAAGGGCTGCTAGAGAAAGCCAATTCTTGACTTCCTTTAGGTAAATGAGGAAGAGATGGGTATGGCCGGAAGGGAAAGCAGGGCAGGAAATACCAGGTAACTTAGCAGGCTACATTCAAAGATATTTTACCCTTTGTACTTATGATCCGAAAAAACTTTCAGTAAGAAATTGTACCACCTTTGTGAATTTGTACGTCAACCCTAGGATCTGCTTGTTAGGGAACCATGGGGCATGTCACCTTCAGTTTCTATGATGTGATTTAGAAATTCAAAGATTGATAGCCTTCAAGACTTTTGTGGACGCTCACTGCCATGGGGCAGATGTGCCTGTCACATACGCCAAGCTTGGTGGGACAGGAGTAAGAACAAGAAATGCGGTTTATCAACCTTTTACTGTTGCACTTGTCTGCTCATTTTTTTACATTTAAATCTGCAGCCACAGACAAAATATGCTTTCATTCCACTGAAAAGCAAAACAGTACAACGATGAACATCTGATTATGTGGACAAGTCCTCCAGAAAGAGAGGAAAACAAAAATTATTACAAGACAGAACAGAGGATCTATCATTTCCTTGATGATACTTTCATCAAAAGCTGATTGCCTTTACACTAATGAGGGGGGATCATTATACAGAGGCACTGTGCCTTTAGAATCTTTTTCCTGCTGGACTTGAAAATTACCTTAAAATTTCTTATTCTAACATTGTGAGAACATAGAAGCCAATCTTGTGGATAGTTTAACTCCCTGAAAATGGCTTTCCCCCATTAAGCACAAAGTAAATTGATGCAGTGTAAAAGTGCCCGAAAATTACCTTTGCATAATCAAATCCATGCTTTTCTTTGATGCCATTGCGACAAACAGTGTAATTATAGAAACGAGAATTCTTGATTAATCCAAGCCATTCTCGCCACCCAGGAGGGATGTAGCTGCCATTATATTCATTGAGGTATTTTCCAAAAAAGGCTGCAATGGAAAAAAAGGGTTACTTTCTCATGCAAAATGATTAAGCACAAATAAATGCATAAATTTGAAATGATGACTTGAAGAAGGGACGGAGAAATGAAAGTTAATCTAGGCAACAGCCATGCCAAAATATTAGTGGGATATAGCACTCCAGTCCTTTGGCAAAGTGACATACCCACATTTTCCTTTTGAATAAATACAAGTAGCACTGAGGTACATGAATTATAGTTCAATAAATCACCATAATTATTATAACGCTCTGGGGAATCTATTTCTTATGGTCTTCCTGGAATGAAACCAGAATATGTTCTTTTGTTAAGTGAATGTAACCATCAAGAGAAGTAGCCAGGGTGAGATTCGGGGTGCTACTGTTCAGCAAGTATTAAAAAACTGTAAGTTCTGCTCTTGGGGCAAAACAAATTCCCTAACGTACTGTTTGAGAGTTGTGAATTATAAAAACACTATTGAAATCCTCATCTCGGTTTTCACATATCCAAACAAAATGTTTTCCAAACCAAGAAATGGTGGTAAAATCCATTTTTATGGATATGGTCAGGGTTTTCATTGTCACTTTGCATTTTTATGTCATGGCTGGTTATGTTTATATGTATTTTATGGACATACATATCTATTATTGATAATAAACTCTGGTAACAGAGTTATATGCTGATTACTCAGCTTCATAGAATGATTGTGTGATAGAAGTTTACGTGCCACAAAGACCCCACTGCTCACTGAGAAGGCCCCTGGAAGGACTTCGCATTGCTAACTTTGGTGTGCCACATCTAAGAAACGATCCCTTCTGAGGGAAAGACTGTGAACGTGATCCTTTGCAAGAGACGACAATACGAAAGGGAGGAAAGGGAAAGAAAGGAAGATTGAGACCTCAGAAACAAAATAGGTTGCATACTGACGTCAAATACCTCATAGATATCAGAAGAGTGGAAAACATGCATTATTGGGACAGTTTTGAGAAAGAGCATTCTATTTGTAATTCTGCTGGTTACACTAAGAAAACAGGTTTAAAAAAGCATGATTCTAGGTAAACCTAAACGTTTGGTGAGTGTATTTAACCAGACAATTTTATTTCATATTATGTACGTACAAGGATAGGTAGATATACATGTCGGTGTGCGTGCGTGTGTGTGCATAGACACACACGCACACACACACACCGATACATACATCTGTACATGTAGGCAAATTTTAGGTTTCTGATTTTTATAAGACTTCAACCTTTCATTTTGGGAGAGACCATGTCCTGTGGCCAGCCAGATGCTAGTTCCTTCCAGCTCCTTCCAGCTCCACGAAGCAGGTTTTATGGGTGCTTCTGTGTGTGCTCGTGGCACATGGTAATAGTACCAGGAAGGCTGGCTTTGGGCGATCACGTAGATCGCAGAAGAATCAAAGCACTTTATTGGCATCAGTCTGAGAAGCACACACATCTGACTCTTTAACTTCTCCAGTGATAGACTTGGCAGTGTTTATTTGTGTATTGAATATTCACTTATGTTTTGAATCTGACTGAGTGAACCACTGGAGCAGTCAGCCGGCCAAAGGCCCGGTGCTTAAGGATTCCGCCCGCTCCCCAAGCAGACTGATGGGTACAGGGCCAAGTGCCACAGGGTGCTGCCCATCAGGATTGTCCTCTGCACTGACCAGGCGCAAGAGGAATGTGTCCTGTCTTCAGAGGATACTCGACCTTTTCACATGGAACCACAAGATCATTTTCCTGTTTTGACAAAATTTAACATGACTCGCAGTCACAGGCAGCAGACCAGGGCTACGCCCTACCAGTGGCTAGTGCTGAAGGGGGCAGTTTCCTGGAGACTTGTTCTTCATAACCGCGGGCTGGCTGCCTTCGGCCTTCTCCTCGTCCCCAGAGGTTTATCCCATTTTTCTGTCCTTTTGTTTTCAAAGAGGGAAAAGAGCGGAGTGATTTAGAATAGAAATCCTAGAGCCAGCCTGCCCGGGTTCAAATCCTGGCTCTGCTACTCGCCAGCTCTCCACCCTTTCCTGATGAGAACACAGTAATAGCGGCAGGGCTGCTGTGAGGACAGAATGAGTCAGCTCCTATGTGGAGCACTTAGAGGAGAGTCTGGCAGGCACCTAACGAGGGCTGATTAGGAGCTGCTACCCCCGATAGGACCGTTAGCATCGGCATTATCACTGCACTTCCCATGCTCGTCTTCTAATTTTAAGATGGTCTGCCACCCTGCATCATGCAGAAATCTCACGCTGGAGTTTTCATTGTGCATCTGGAAACGTCCCTTGAGAGATGACATACTTTTTTTTTTTTTGCTCACTAGTTTGACTTATTTTGTGGAAACAAATCCCCCCACATTTGCCTTACATTTTCCTGCTTAGTCGGTTCTAAAATTTTTTCCTGCTACTCTTAAGTGATTTTTCCACTTAAAGCAGCCACATCCAGTCATGCTTAACCGTTCCTCATTGTTTTACTTTTTAGGTTATTGTGCACTATTTTCTGCCCATTGCCATGGCTATTACCCTCTGCCCTAATCCTTTCCTTATAAATGACTCCTGCAAGCCTCCTCGCAGCCCTTGTTACAGGCCTCAGAAGTCTCTCCAGGTTTTCGCTGTCTTTGTGTTAATGGAGTGTGAAAAATGTACTCAGGATTGCAGATGTGAAGCTCATTCCAGAGAGAGGGGCCCCGGCGTCAAGATCGGCACCCAGGGCTGTCGGCCCCACTCACGGTGGCCTCTCTTCTTGCCTGGTGACATTGAGACTCATTTGTAATCACCCCTGGCCTCTTTGGATATTACATTTCCTGGCAGCACTCTGCAATTGATTATCTGGGCTTCTAATTATTTTCCTCCAGATGTATTAAATCTCCTTCTCCCTCCCTAAGGTGAATTTTATTTTCTTGCCCATATTGCCGTTATGCCTACGGAGAGGTTATGGACAATTCAAAGAGTTTCTGTACTTCAGCTTTGACAATTCAAGTCAGCTGCCACTATCTGACATGACATTTCCCCGACCTTCTATGTCACTCTCTTCTGGATACCGCTGAACACTTCCCTTCGCAGCTGTTTAGGAAGGTGGTAGGAGACCGGGCGACAGGGAGACAGATAAGGAAGACACGATTGTAATTACTGTTGGCTGTGGGCCCTGACAGTTCTTTCCTGGTCTGCCAGTGACATAATCCTTAGAAAAATATCCTTGAACTATCTGAAGCAAAGGCATTCATTTTTAAGTCAGCAATACCAATTACAGAAATATCTGATGCTGCAGAGAAGTCAAACCTTATTTAATATACCAGATGATATATCAACTGTAATTTTACTTCATGTAATTGATAGATTCAGGTGACAGAATTCCACAGTAGTAACTACAAATACACGTAATTTTGAACCAAGTTAAAATTATTAGTTTGGTTTTATACATGAATTTGGTTTCCCTAACGGGGTTGTAAGTCTAATAAAGACCAAGATCTTACTTTATTACGCCCCAGTGTCAAATGTAATTTTGAACACATTGTGGTTCCATAAATTTGTGGTATACTTCATGTATATATACCTATCAAAAATCTATACTACCTAATCCATAAAAATAAGAACACTATTTTATTTTAAGTGAACTCTACAGTTAAACAAATTTCATACTAAAGAATAAATATGCGTGCTATCACTAATGTAAGTACATTCTGTAATATCAAAAGAGATGAAATTGGAAAATAGATTAAGTTGATTTGTTACAAAAGAACTCTTAACAAAGATTCCTTGCAAAGCTAGGCAGGATGGTGCATGTCTGAGGGCTGTCTGAAGTCCCAGCTACTTGGGAGGCTGATGCAAGATGACTGCTTAAGCATGGGGGTGCAAGACTAGCCTGGCCACCACAGCAAGGCCCTGCCTCAAAAAAAATCGAGAGTTATTGCAAATCTCTATTAAATGTTGCTCCTTCCATTCACGATATTAAGGAGAGTTACTGTGACTAAAATTTAATTCAAATGTGATTAAATTTTATATGTGTACTATGTGTTATAATTGTAACTTGAACACTATAACTTTTAACTGCATCAATATAGTAATTCCACTGAGTATAATAAAGTTGTGATATAATTTTGCACAGGAAAGAAAACTTAGGAATCATTCTGGGTCAATTTCTGCATTGTATAGATTGAAAAACCAGCCTAAGTCTGCGAAACAAGAGGAGGGTGGCACGGGCTGCGATTCCAGCTCCTTCAGCCTCTCCGTGGTGTTTTCTTCTTATACTCCATGCTGTCTCAACTGCGGACCACCTCTTCTATCTTAAAGTTTCGTGCTGTTTTGTATTAATGTCTATACCCTCATAAGAAATATACAATAATTTTTTTTTAGCAGATTCAGGTAGAACATTCATTTTCGCGGTGGATAATCCAATGTCATTCCCACTTCGCTTGTCAGAACAGGGTGCAATAGACACATCGCTGTTTTTTCCTTCTTTTTTTTTTTTTTTTTTGGTTTTTCTCCGGTACCGGGAACCTGTTTTTTCCTTCTTGAATGTTTATGCTGCTGTAGACTCATATTTTCCATGAGTAAAGTTAGAACAATTTAGGCTACAACCAACCCAAAAATATGCCTGAGTTGTGAAAGAGAAAAATCATGTCATGCGATGGTAAATATTGGATCAATTCAACTCATTTAAATCCATATATTCTGGATGCCTCCCAAAATAAGCCTCTCAGTAATTCATCTTCTCTGAGCTATTCTTCATAAAACTTACTACTGCTTTGTGCTTTTGTGTAGATGGATATTTATGCAGCATACATATTTCAGTTTCCTTCACTATTTTTCTTAGGTTTGCAGCTGAACATTCCAAATAATAGATTCATTATTAGGAAAGCAATAGAACGTTTATACTGTTATTTTCCCTCACTAGTTCAGTACCTCATAAATAATTATGTTGCTTAATATCTACTCACCAGTTCTTACAGTTTCCTAACATGCCTGCATCAGCCATAACATCACAAGGGGCACATATGGGACACATACACCTTCAAGGAGAGGTTTAATTTGCCTGATGGTTTCAGAGGGTTCAGTGTACGGCTGATTGGCTCCAGGGCAGGATCATTATGGTGGAAGTGCAGGCTGGAGCAAAGCTGCTTTGGCCATGATGGTAGTGAAGCAGAACACAGGGGAAGAGCTCCAAGACAGGCACACCCTCCAAAGGCAGGTCCCCAGTGACCCCCCTTCCATAGCGCCCCGCTTCCTAACAGCACACTCAGCTATGAGCATGGGGAATGAACCCACTGATGAGTGTAGCACCCACATGACCCACACATCTCTTTAGGAGTCTCTCAATTCAGTCAAGTTGACAATTAAGGTTAATGACACAGGCCTGTCATTCTTGTGTGCTTGTTTATGTATTTTCATTCAGGTCACTGTCCATAGCGCTATCAATAATTATTGTCACAGAAACATCTTTATATACTCATTGTCTGAGACACTTCAGTGTTTTCTCATTGAAGATAAATCTGAAGTATATAGGTCTTTATCACTGTCTTCTAATCTTTAATCCTGCTGAGTGTCTCAATCCTTGGGAAAAACCAGCCTTAGTTTTCCAGGAGCAAACCTGCGTCCCTTGGAGGAAACACCCTGGAAAAGAAGCAGGTTTGCGGGGCTTTGCGCCTGCCATCAGGGAAGCCTTCCAGTGTGCGCTGCATCCTGGCCTCACCCCACAGGTTAGGGCAGCGTGCTGGCGAGAGACTGGAGATTCAGGTCTTTGCACAGACGCTTCCCATGTTAGTGTCACTGGCACTTGACCAAGTCACTGTAATCTTGTGTCTGTACTTTTGTTCCTCTAAAAATAATGGAATGGAGCCATTGTGGCGGGCATAGTAATACTGAACAGCGTGCAGTGCTACAGCACGGTGACACTGAACACGTGACAGAATACGCTGTGCTTCTTCGCGCAACTGATTTGTTTTTTGTCCTGATGACCCAGTAAACTTTGCAATTATAGCGGAGTTTTTTGTTTTTTGCTTTCACCACAAGAAGCTTGTTTCTAAACATGCAACCTTTCCCTGCAACTCCATGGTATGTAGTTCGTACACCAATGCTTGCCTTGACTTTAATTATCTTATCCTTTGTTTCTGCTAAATCCATATTGTTCTGTGTCCTGTCATGTTTCCTGACCTCTGTAAGAGATTTTGGAAAAAGGCAGCAGAGAATAATAATTATAGAAATAGGCAAACAGAAAAAAAAAAGACTTTGTAGTCAGAAGTGCTAGGTTTATTCAACTGTTGACAGGCTGGTGACCTCAGGGAATTATCCTTCCTGAGCTTTGGTTCATCAAAAACCATGGTTTATTACCATGTTTTGGTAACATGGGTGAATCTTCCTTTGCAAGCTTGTCATAAGAACTAGGTGAACCAAGGTGCTCTGTGGTGATGCATGCCTATGATCCAGCACTCTTGGAGGCTAAGGCAGGAGGATTCCAAGTTTGAGTCCAGCCTGCATAACTTGGCAATTTAAAATGACCCTGGGTCAAAATAACAAATAAAAAGGGTTGGAGATGTAGCTGTATGTTAAGACCTGGGTTCAGTCCTTAGTGGAGTTTTTTTTTTTTTTTTTGGTCTTTTTGAGACAGCTTTTCACTATGCAGTTCAGGCTGAACTTGAACTCGTTTTGTAGCCTAGGCTGGCCTTGAGCTCGAAATGGTCCTCCTGCCTCAGCCTCCCAAGGGCTGGGATTACAAGTGTGTGCTACATGCTGGCTTACTGTATGTATGTGTGTGTGTGTTCTTTGTCTTTTTGAGAAATCCCCAGTATTGCACAAACCAAGCCAAACCAAACCGAACCAAACCCAGGTGGGATAACTTCAATAAAATGCTCGACACAAGAGTACATAAGAAACAATGGTACTTTCCCCCTTTCTCACCATCCCTGAGCTAGCTGAAACAACTTGGCACACCCTCTGTGACTAAGTCCTGGCAGGGCCCTGCCCCTCCCTGACCCTGTATTTTTTATAACAAACACTGTCCATGCCACGCTGATAGGACGAGAGACCTAGCCCTTGAGGCTCTGGGTCTGCTGTAGGGATTACATCCTAGGGAGCCTGGGAACTGGGAGACACAGTTTTCATACCACACTTCCCATGAGCACACAGTTTAGTGGTTAAAATCAGGAACCAGGCATTAGGGAACTACTTCTGCTTCTGCTCCTGAGCTGGCTACCCCGTATTTGAAACCCCACTTCAGTTATAAAACACAGCCAAGTACATTTGTTGTCTGTGAGCCCCACAGGGATAGCTGATGGATTTTTGCAAATTGCTTTAGTGCTCTCGGATGAAAGGTGCTGTAAGTTTAAATCACAATGTGAGAAAACACACTATGGCTCTCCGTAACCTCCCTGTAACCGAGTTTCTCTCCTAGGCAGAAACAAACATCCTGCAGATGGCAGGAGGAGCTACCTCTGTGAGCAGAGATCCTGAGATGCCCGTGCGTGGTGCTGCTATGGTACACACACCGATATATTCACCCATAAATAACAAGTAGTAAGTGCCCACGGGCGCTCTGCAAAAGTGCCAGTGACCATATATTTCCTGGTCCAGAGGGAAAGATTAATTTAATCTTTATAACAGATTTAAGAGAATATTTATTTGAAATCCTTTACTTTTAAGCTCTCAGGATAGAGAATCTGTAGGCCTGAAAATCATTTCCAATGAGTTTTCAAGATGACATCTTTGATTTTTATGAATTAGTCTAGGTGGTTCCGGATGGAAAACAAAACCAGAAACTCTATTTTTGTACTGCATCCTCTCCATCTACATTCTTATTTCCTTTCAAGGAGACACACTCTGAAAGCTGTAGGACAGCTGCCAGCGCTGGGAGAATGAGGGCTGAGAGGGTGTCACACAAACCTTGCAGCTCTTTCTCACTGACATTGGCTTGATGTTCACAGCTCTTCCTGAAAGAGGTCCCCAATTTCCAAGAGACCTACTAACCCAAAATATCATCTTGTCCTGTGTAAGTTAAACAGTGATACAGGTTTAGCAACTGGGCTGATTTCCTTTTCTAAAAGATGGAGGTGAACATCTGAGACGTAAAAATGATGACTTAAGCTAAAGCAACTCTCCAAGTCCTATTAATTATGTACAAATATGTAAACAAATCAGTAAGATGAACATCACTGGTTTACTCCCTTATTCGTTCAAATAGCAATAAATAATTTTGATCATCTACTGCGCTCCAGACCCTGAGATAGGTGCTAAACAGTTTGAAAACTGAGTAATTTCTCGTTTGAAACAGAAGGAATTTATCAGCATCTAAATAAAGCCTTAAGGTGTGTCACTGTCCCTGGGGACTTGAAAGGTACAGGTAAGGAGGCAAATGGAATAAGAACTGTTTATTTTTGGGTTATCCTGGAAAATTCCAACCGCTGGGTGCCCTGGTGGGTCCACTGAGAATCCTGGCTTTTCTAAGGGATCTGTCGTTGGTATATTTTTCATTATAAAAAGTAATTGCTGTGGCTGGAATATAGTTTGCTTCTTCTGAAAGTCATGCTGAAGTCGGACTGTCATTGTGGCCAGTGGTGGGAAGCAGGACTCTAAGAGGTGATTCATCCTTAGAAGGGATTCACTCCTTTCTCAAAGGAGTGGGTTAGGTACCTCAAGAGCAGGTCTTTACAAGGCGAGGCTGCCCCTTGTGCTGTCTCGCCTGCAGGGACTTGCTGGCTCTTCCACTATTAGCCGGACTATGACCCAGTACTAAAGC